TCCAGTCAACACAGCAAAGTGTGCTCATCTGCACTTGGGGCGTGCTGACTTAGAGGTAGTCTACAACCTCCTGGGAACCACATTGCGCAGAACATCGTGCGAACGAGACCTGGGTGTTATGGGTACGTCATCACTGAAGACCCGAGAAAACACCGATCGGATCTGTGCTAGCGCACGGAGCATTCTCGGGGTTTATTCGCCGGTCTTTCAACCAGCTCATGATGGACGCTTTCAGGCTGCTGTACGCTGCTCATGTCAGACCAAGACTTGAGTACGGTGGTGCGGCGACATGCTCCTGCACAGCCAGTGAACTGGATAAGTTGGAGCGTATACAACGTGCTGCCACTAGACTCGTTTTTGGACTACCCGGGACCAACTATGAAGGCCGTCTACAGGCTACTGGTCTGTTCCCAATTGCGTATCGACGTCTCAGGGGAGATCCCATCTGCCTGAGGAAGATCCTGAGGTGATATGGGCTCGGGGCTGCAACATTTACGGACAGAGGACCGCACGCGGGGGCCATCTCTCACGTTGCGGAAACTTCATTCAGTTGTTCTTCCGTTAGTCTACCGACTCTCGCGTAGGTCAAGAACACTCTGGAATTCCCTTCCAGCGATTGTGGTGAAAGAGAAGACAGACGCTGATTTCAAACGGCGTCTGAATGAGCACCTGAAGGGGCTATGGAGGAACGAACACTTGTGATCGGAACTTCGACCCAGTGGTGATGGGGCTTACACGGGAACCCTACCCTCTGCCCTCAATCCTGAATACTGAAGACCTCTGCCACAAAATCGTGAACTTTTTACGCTCATATGGTATTCCGGTAAAGTTTCATTCCCTGCCTAATCATTGAATCCGGCAACTACGATTTGGTATTCTTGAGTCACCAGGGAAATGCTCTTTTTGTTCTAAAACGATAGTTATCCTCAGTCAATTTCTTCGCGAACAACAAATATCATTCGGTAAATAAATGTTATTCCAACAGATGAAATTTGCTAACATGATACATATGCTGGTATCCGAGTTAAGTTGTACTATTGGGAAAATGTGAATATATATATATATATATATATATATAAAGGACAACGGGATTTGTCATCACTTACTGTCTCGCATACCCAACACAAACATGGAACCGGTGTGGAACACATTGTGCAATACATTTGTGTACGAGGATAAGGCGACCAGTGGTGCAAGAAGCGGGAATCGAACGGATGGAATTCCCACTTGTTTCAGCTCATCCGTGGCCATGAATCCTGACTGTTGAACGGGAAAGGGCATGCAACTTGGAGCATCCACAGTCATTATTCCACAATCCAGTTGGCGAGCGATGTAGCCCAGAAAGCAAATAAACTTTTGATTGAGCGTCAAATCAATGAGCACATCGGGAATTTGGTTAGCGACGGCACTCTGGCAAACTGAACGTGCATATCCGTTGGGTTTTTCCATGATATAGATGATAAAGAATTCATGATCAAACAGTTAGTTTATCGGAAATCAAATGCCGTAAATACTACCGTCGGTAGTAAAAAGCATTTTAAGTTTCATTCATTACTTTCTCCGTTCGTTTTGAATTTCGAACTGTAAAAACACTTTCCGCAATCTCAATTGTTTGTTGCTGTATAACCTTCAACAACAGATCCAATAATGCATATTTTGAGCCAAGGTTCCATTTAGCTTACCACTAACTGAACGAAGGAAATCAAAGTATAAAGTTAGTCTACATAGAATATCAAAACCATGTTCAGTGAATGATCGAATCCGATAGTCTCCCGTCGAAATGAAAGTGAAAGTATCGGGACCCATAAAACTGCATACCATATTCAAAGAAGATTTGCATCGGTTAATGAAGAAAGGCTATATAAATGGATTCCATACGACGTATAAGGCATGTAGGCCCTCTGGTACACATCATTCAACCGTAGACTTTCGGACAAAGTCATGTCACTCACTCCTCGGCAGTGAGTTCCGCATTTATAAAACTCAATACGGTAATATGACAAACGTTCAGACGTTGAACTGTCGTCATTTTATCAGTTTTGGGGTTCTCCTCCTAAAAGAACGGAGTGATCCTACTGCCTCAGGTTACCGTATAGCGAAAAAGTAAACTGTTCACGTGGATTCCGAATGAACAATCGAAAAGCAAAACACCTATGGTTCAAGTTACCCATTTTGTATTCATTCTCCAGTTTAAAACACTTTGCATTAATTGATTTCATTGATGAAAATGCTCTGCGTGGGTCCCCGGTAAACTCAAAACGTGATTCGTGCCACAGTAAGACATTTTATAGCTAAGAAGTTTTGTAAACTTCGTTGATTCGACGTTTCATGCCGTGGCAATCAGTAAACCTTAGTAAATTAAAAATAGCTTACTTCGTTCCGCCAAGGCTGGCAAGGGATTTTCAACGGATTGTGAGGNTGTGAGGCAATGAAGTGTTGGTATGTAATCGGTAGTCGAGTATCTTCAATCAAATCCTTGATAGCGAATTCCGCTATTCGTCTTATTTCCGGTCGATTTTCGGTAGTAACAATGGCTTGAACAAGAGACAAGTGTTTCCGGAAAGTTTTACTTTGCTTAGAAACGAACGTTACACTTGGGGCAGAAGAACATCTAGAAATAGCTGGCAGAGAATGGTTGTGCGAGCCAACGCTGAACAGTTATGAAAAATCTGAATATTTTTCTTAAACATCTGAAGTTGCATCAGCCATACACTATCACCCAACTAGATGAAGATAAGTAATCTGCAACATAGAATTTCTTAGCAAACCTCCATGGTGTCACGCATTTGAACAATATCCAACAGTAAAATGAGTATATAGTGATTGAGTGGAGGACTACTTCAAGGTAGAAACCTCGTGACTCAAACTGATGAAATCATATTTGCGCCACTACTTCTACATCCTCTAATGCTCTTCTCACACCACGGATATTTACCCTTACAGCTACTTCTTTAAGGCTATAACGTATTCAAATAATTGACCTAATGTGATGATGCTTGTTTAGCTCTTATTAAATTGACCTATTTACCTGAAAGAGATCTTCGTTCGCCGTGCTAGTCACCATCACTCAGCCAGCTCTGGTGCTAGTGAACAATACTGATCGACAAGCTGGGCCGGTAAAGAACTATCTCAGATATGCAGTCCTATAAAATATGCCTATTAAAAACATTAAACATTGGGACACCTAATGTAGTAGTCTTATTGAAAAAATAAATGAAAATCCTGAGTTCAGATATATTCCAGATGAGTTGGTTTCAGGAGTTGCATGCTGATAGTTAAAGCAAGCTATGTTTATTCAAAGATTCCTTCCCTAAAACATAACGAAGGACCCTATCACAACCAAATGGAGGTAATTCTTTTGCTTTTGCATTTGAGCCTTCATTCATTTTCCGACTTGAGTTTATGAATGAATCAGTCTTTCTCACCTTAAAGCCTTATGAAAAGGAACCGCCATTTATAAAGCTGATAAAAAGGTTCCCTTCATGTTGTAGGCTTGACAGCCAGGCTTGATTCTAATTAGGGTGGCATGAATATGTGAATAAAATTTCAAAACCATCACATGATAACTTCATGATGGAAACTAATCAATTTACAAAGAAAAACGAATATTAAGTAGGCATCGGAAGTGAAGAGAACCAGTAATAGAACTATACTGATTTGATTGAGCGTTCCAACCCGCGCACAATCTTTAGATAAAGATAACCAAACACTCGGAAAGCGATGGAGTTCAATTTTGCTATTGATAGTACTAATAAATAGAGCGCTCCGACTGGGATTTGAGCTACAAACCCATCCCATAAGAAACGTGTGAGTTAAGATTGTAAACACATGACTTCAGGGATGAGTAGATGAACCCATAAAGTAAACCTGATTTGGTGGGAGGCTTCTGCTTGGCGTTAACGGAGATTATACAGGGTTCCTCCACGTGACGTTCAAGCCAAGTTAGCTGACTATCATGGAAGACGACATGTGAAAAATTCGGATTGGTGATTCTGGTTAATCCCAAAGTGAGCTAGTTGGCCCACCGAACTTTTTTATCCGTAGTTCAAATTTTCTAAGGGCCGGTGGATATAATCTAATGATGAGTGAAGCTCGAGGTCAGTGCTTATTGGGTAAATGGTTAATTGGATAAAATGAAGATTGTGCATGAACATGAAATTCAAACGATGTCCAACCATGATCAGGTAGGAACCATCACCTATTTTACTTTAGGACAAACAATACCGATTAAGGGGAAATATACGATTATGAAAATCTAAAGTTTTCATTTCGAAGGTATTCAGTAGGTTCCGTGTTCAGAATAAAAACTACAAACAAGATATCTTAATTTTCTGAGTTTAATTTCAGGATGCATGACCAACGGTCAGGCTAGAATGGAGCAAAGAAAACCTGCGTTAAACAAAAAATCACAGTGTACCAAACATTCGTTTCAAACTAGTTCTTGTGCGCATTTCTATCGAGGATTAAATTCAAGATTTTCTAATAAAAAACCTAGTTTTACATCTATGCAACGAAGAAATGAAACAAAAGGATAGATATTTCGGCGTCTTCAAGAATTTCTTGCCAAAACGTTACTTACCCAGATGATATGATTCCGAGCATTTTAGCCAAGTGAACAGAATGCAGCACAAATACCACCACCATGGACAGCGCATATTGACACCGAGTGAGGTACATCTCCACCAGGACACTCATACACATTTATATAAATCCCAACCGTGAGCACCACCCATCCCATGCAAGCCACTCAGGACACCCTCATATGTGTTCAAGGTAGCACTCTCAGCGGACACCATATAAACTGGGATTGTGTTAATTAGTACTCATTTAACACTAGCTAAATCTTGAACCATACAAAATTAGTGTCAATCAATGACCTCATAAATTCTGGGGCTGGGCTCATTAATTCTCATCACGGAGTTGATTGCTTCTTACTCTGCATTGGGATGACCTAAAGAGCGAATTGTTATAGAACCACCATCCTAGAGGTCACAAAAGTGAATTTTCAGCCCAAAACAGAAGCAACAACAGAGAACTTCGATCAAAACCCCTGTTTTACTTTGCACTCCTAAAAGTTAAATGGAATGCCTAGAAGCTTCGTCGCTGGTCTCTTGTCACCAATCTGAAACAAATTAATTATATTTTAACTGAATTTACCTTGTGCAACAACCAAAAACATATTTGTTCGAAAAAACATTGACATGCTGCTGGTAAAAGTTCTCTACAAATCAGCTTACGGGCAAAGTTACTTGTCTCATCCTATACACACAGTAAGAAAATTCCCCAACAAAATTGATCGGTCATTCTAGCCCATTAAAATCAGATCAGTTAACTGTAAACGAAATTTAGTCGATAGTGCTAAAAGTAAATCGACTATTGTTCCCTCGAACATCTTCCATGATATAGGAATGGTCCTATCTCGAAAGATAGCTATCTCTTATCTTCATGAACGCGAGATTGACCGTAAATAAAAACCTACTACTCTTGAGTAGTATACATTTGTTCCCCACTACAAAGAAAAATTCTCAAATAATAAAAAGAAAACGTATGATAGGGGGAACTGTAGTTTAGTATGGATACAATTGTGCAACATGTTGTAAATAAGTGTTGATATCATTAGTAAACGTTTGGATGGAAAAATCAAATCACATTTATTAATGTACTTCATTCAAATGTTCCCATATAACATCGCCAGCTGATCCAGTCGCGTTTTTTAAACGACGTTTTATACTACTCCAAAAGCATCCCACATTATTAGTATGCACACCGGTTATAAGATTCACAAAACCATCGGTGTGATTTACACACATGTGTATATATCCAAGTGAACACGGGGAGCGATATGCTGCCAATTGATCGATGGAAATAGTTGTTCTCGGATGCACCCACCGTTGAATTATCGGGAGTAACACGTCGGTAGACCGATTTTCTACTCGCTGAAAATATCGCTTTTTCAGGTTGCGGTCGTACACGCCGAACAACCAAACGGTAGGTGTTGGCCGACCGCGACAATATTTACTTTTTACAGCGACACTTTCATCTATTTCAACAATGACCCCAACACCTCCGAGTTGGATCGTGAGGGAGCACATAACATCACACACATCGCGACAGCAAGTGCACCATTGAATGGCGCTTTTGCTTGACAAATTCGCCATCGCAGAAGCACGTGTAACAGGATCTTCCACGACGAAATAAAAAAATTAATTCCACCAAATTTGGTAAGGGAAGCCTCGACTGAGCAAAAAAGCTCCAGAAATAATCGAAAATCTCTTCGTACGAGCGGTACACCGGAAAACAAATCCATCCTGGCTACGGGAGAATTCATGCATGTTCATCACGCGTCCACATGCACATGTACGTGGTTTTGGTAATAAATTCCGATCTTGCATATATTCTACACAAGGCTGTCCTTGAATTTCATGGAGCATTCGGCACATGGTGGAACCAACCGACATGTTTCAAGGTCACAATTTAACACAAAATAGGTGAAAATACACTTCTTTGTTTTATAAAAAAATAATCCACATATTAAAAATCTCAGAAAAAATTATATTTAAAAGTGGCCGCTTTTAGAATGAACTAAGAATAATAAAACCACCATGGGGTGCCGGATACGAACGTGCACCTTCAGTCGCACATATTCCAGGTTGGAAACCCATCAGACTTGCCAGACAATGCTTCAGCCCAGGTTGCTGATAGCCATATTTCGTAAGAATTAAAAAAATGAGATTTTGGCACACTCAAGTCCAAGCAGCCTGTAGAAGTAAAATTAAACGTACGACACTAACGTTTGTGACATTCGGTCAATGAGCACAGCATTCTGAGGTATAGATTGGGCTCAACCGAAGCAGACGTCGTAACTTGATGTAAAGAAACCGTTAGATTTGCCCTAGGTCCAGCCGAGCCACTAAAGGTCTTCACTAGTCACACGCTTACCCACCCCGTTAAACATTTTTCGTCGAGAAAGCATATTTGAAGGCATGGGTAGTGTTTGCCAAATATACCCGTCCCCAGGGATTAACCATGTCGGTGCCTTCTCTGTCCCATAAAAACAACCAGAAGCCTACATCTGACCGGACCAAAATTGTCCAAACCATTCCACCTAACGGTGGTGCAATGATATTGATGTTCGGAAATCAAACAATTGTGTATTATTTATATGGATTAGTTACACATAGGAAGGTCGTCCAATTGTACTAGGTGAAACAGCCTCTCTGAAAGACCCTAAATTATATCTATAGCAAACTAAAACAGGGAAGAAAACAAAGACTGACCAAATCGATGATCAAATTTTAGCAGTTTAAACTTCGTTTTGGATAGACTACCGAATGCCATTGATAGACCCTCGTTATATACCGTTCGAGCAACTCAAGAACGGGACGGTTGACTAAGTGCAGAAGCTTACGGATCTAGAGAAGAAAAGTATATGGAAGGTACGTTCTAAGATGCGTTGAAAAGTAGTCTTCTCAAAAGCTATACCCAAGCCGAAGACTAGTCAGAATCTCACACGTGAATTGCCTTCGTGCAGTCGATATCCAACATCACTGTCACGATAGCGAAACCAAAAAATAGCAATTCGAAAGTAGTCACAAATGACGGGGTGTAGACCAGCCTGAATAGCCACCTAAGGCGAATCTATGTCGAACATAGTTAATGGCAATATGACCGACCAGAGTCCAGCACTGAAAAACTATGCGGTTTATTGCGAGGAATAAACTGCTGTTGACAGCGTATAGCTGTAAATTAGGAATCAGTGTTAGATCAAGCTACACACGCAAGCAAAAGGGGAAACGTGCGTTCCTCCCACGCGTTCAGCCAAGCGTAAACTAATCGGACGATAACGGAATCAACCGGACACAGACAATGATCCGAGGAAACAAACACCAAGTCAAGAGAGGAGCTTTATTGGCCCAATGCTTAGTCTAGTTCCCATTAGTCGATTTGACCGTCACGCATACTTCTATAGTTGGAAATGATACAATCATGTTCTTCCACCATCACCCATTGGAGCCAAGGAAGGCTCGATCGTTTTGACCATAGATAAGAAGATCGAATATTAGAACATATCAAATCGACGAATGACAACCGCAATCATATCGTCTATGCACCTTGTCGAAGAGTATGGAGATACCAATTGTGCGTCAAATGCCACGGTAAAAATCCGCATGTCTATTGAGCGCTCTAGCACACTAGTGATTCATACCGCAGTTGGCTTTTGACACCTTTTTCCTTTATATTTTTCTCATGTATAAAGTTTTGCCGCTGTTCTTCTTGTCGCGGACCTACAAATTTCCGTTCATAGTAGTGGCGCATTTATCAAATCTCACGAAAACTGAAGTCCCATTTGCATTTTCCAAGATTTCCGCACAAAAGCAAGACAAAACAACCAAAGAAACAGGGTTTATTCATCAAAAGAAAATAGATGCACCCTACAAGACATCACAGAGCGAAGGGATATATACACAAACAGGTATGGAACACGGTCGAATTTATTCATATCTCGCTCACTGACAGGGCATCCATCAAAGAGGACACAGTCTGCTCCACCACGTCGTCCTCTTTCCCCTGTTCCTGTGCTCGAGCCACACGGGCACGCCGACACACGTCCGCATACGCCGGGTCAATAGGCATTTGGATGGGAGGTTTACACACATGATCAGGATCCAAAGTATAGCACAGATCTGCATCAAAGCCACAAAGATCTCCGCAGGCAACAAACGGTAAAATGGCTTTATGATCTTCGGAAAACTGAAACCGGGAAATCAAGACATGTGCAAAAATCAGAAGTGGGAAGTGAATTTCGTTAGACACTTGCTAGTGTTTCGAAACTGGCAGCTTATCAGATGGTCTGATGTATCCAACGTACTAATAGTACGGCACAAAGCTACCACCACCACTGGAGTCTTAGACACGAACAGCCTCGGTAGACCAAAACGATTACCTGATTAACTTTTGTAGATACAACGCATGAAATACCATGAGGATATCGTTCAATATCTGTCTTCTTTAGCTGATGTACTTTGCTACTACAGTGGACAATCATGCAATCTGATCTGGTGTAAGCGGACTAGATTCGCTGTCATGCATTCACGCTGGTCCGCATTGAGTTTTATCAAGCTTTTCCTGATTACTCTTAAGATACCGCTGATGTATGTGCCAACTTTGCTTAGAACACACATAAACTGACTCGATAAAATTCACAGTTACATGAGAGTAACGGAAGATTTGTTTCAGTTTCAAAGGGGAAATTCGTCGTGCATAGAGCAAATGAAGCGTGAAATGAAAAGCTAGGAAGAACTGCACAGCTGTTTCGACCTGGTTGGGTCTCATCAGCAGTGCGAATCCGTCGACCCAACTGGGGATCAAACCCGGGAACTCACAGGCAGAATGCAAACAAACTACCCATTCGGCCACCGGGCAGCGGATCAGACAGTTTTTCATCTTCCATTTACACGATATAGCACAACCCATCTTTGCGAGCTTGTTGCGGACATCGCGCCTCACTTATCTCACCACTAACCTCTGGGGTTATGACTCGGTTGGAAACTGCACAACCTGTTACATGGGGCTCCGGGTTCGTTCCCCAGCTGGGTTGATGGATTCACACTGCTGATGAGACCCAGACAAGTCGAAAAAGTGGTACAGTGCTTCCTAGCTTTTCAGTTTACACTTCAGTCGCTCCACACACGACTAATTTCCCTTTAAAATTCCCAGTTTTTGCTGTAATTTCTTGCTCATGATTCTAATTCGAGTGGGGGCTCGCAGAGCATTCAGTTATGTGAGTTTGAGCTCGCGGATTTTCCGATAGCCCTAAAAGTACGAATCAGTTCCGCGTGTTACACACATTATACACCGAACAGAAAGTTAGAGCTCTTGAGCAGTGACCCAACCGCTGAATGGAGTGAACGGGTTGTCATCAAACCTGTGTTTAAAGTTTGGTCGTAATCCAGCTCTCAAAATTCGAGTATGCTGCAAACAAGTACAAAGCGATGCCGTAGGATAATCTTCCGGCTCCGCGAGGAAACTTGTGAACTTATAGTGATCATGGCGTAAATTTCGTTTGAGAACGAGTATGAAACAGGTGAACAAAAAAATCACTTCATAGGAGTAAAATCTGTTGGTGAAAAGCGGCTATGGCAAAAGCAACTGACACAAAAAATGTATCAACAATATGGATGTGCTTTTCATATCGATGCGAGTTTTTAAACGCCATCATGAATGTGACTGTGATACCGGAAAAGAACACGAACCTCGTCGAAATTTGCCGGATTGTACCACTGGAGAAGCAACGGGTCCGCAGTTGTCGAATCAGTATGAGAACGAGTGGAGAGGCGAGGACCGGAATATTCTTGGCAAACCACAAAAGCCTCCAAACTAGAATTCCGGCTGGAACGGGGTTTGGCGAAGGTGACCGGCCCGTCAAACAGGCAGCGCAACTGAGCACCCAGTAAACCTGAATCGCGACTGCGGAAAACTTTGGCAACAAACGTGCCACCACGTTGCAAAATTCGCGAGCATATAGTTATGGCAGCAAGAATGAGATGAGACTGAACATATTCATCCAAGTCGTGAAGTCCAGTAACTGTAGAAACGTTGAAACAGTAAGATGAACAGCTGAGAAAGACAGTCTGGAAACTCTGGAACAAATGCCTAGTCGTGTTATTTCTATCGCCTTTTTGGACCGAATTTCGACGAAATTTTCAATGTCGAGTCAGCTTAAAGTAAATCCAGACAGCATCAACAACACTGCAGGCCAGAAACGAAGATAGTGTTGCAATGATCCACTGCTAAAACTAGACATGCTTTATGTGGGGAAAGCAAACCGTATTTTGCTGATTGATGATAACCGGGGCTTGAAGACGTCAGCTTAGCGACGTAAGACATGCAAAGACAACCAAACCTCAGTAGATGGACTAGATGTACCATCAGATTCAATGGCTGGAAAGTAAATCCATTCGAACTATGTGTTGCATATATGTCCGTCGATTGGCGGAAGGGTTGTAGGAGAGCTACCGGCATCTATGCAACAACTCCTTGTTGAACGGTAGCCTTCCCTTGGTTGTGCTAAGTTTAGAGATGAGCAGTCAGAGAATGATGCTGAGGACGTCTCTTGTACCGAACTCCTGTGAAACTAGGATTCTAATCAAGTCAGATTAGACCCTCCAAGTTGAAGCTGTAGCAAAGTAAAATCATCCACACATTTCCGGCAGAAAAAGTAACATTCTGTACACTGAAGATTTGTAAGGTGAATCTAAGATCATTTTTTCTTGATACTTGAAGATGACTGGAAAAATGGGTTCATTTAAAACAAATTACCAGCACAACATGTACAAAGGTACCGCATAATTGTTTCAATTATCAATACTAGAGGATTGAACAGAGTATAGTGAAGTGGACAAGACCGAAACATCGACAGAAGTAGTAAAAATATCCAAAGCTGTTGAGGTAAAACCTCAAGGGTGTATTAGAGTTTATATGCTAAACAGACGGATTCGCTGCTAACCAACCTAGATGAGGTCAGAGTAAGTGAACGCTAAAACCACGGAATGGTGCATGAAAATAGTTTTTACGAACACGTGTTTATGGTTCCATAAAATGTAAAAAAGCAGACCCATCATTTATTTAGTGGTCTTATTCGCTTCAGGTAAATGCAGTTTCTATCAAAGAACCTGAATTGAACAACAACAAAATCTTTAGATACTGGAAATTATTATTATTATTTTTATGTAGGTGTCTAGTCAAGCATTTGCGTCAAATTATCTGTGACCGCTGTTCAGACAAGAAGACTCCTAATTAAATTCATCATGTCACGTGATCAGCGCAACATTTTAGCGCGAACTAACTAAAACCATTACTTCATCCGATCGATCGATCGGTAATCAATATGACCACTTTTCAGTTCAAGCCACTTTTGTAGCTGTTCTGTTTATTCGAAGTTTTATGCCACCAGAATCCCTATCGTCACCTTGAAACTGTCCTCAGCTTTCTAGTTCTCCCCGTTACTGCTTCGTCGAGATTGGATGCCAAAAGGCAGCAGTCAAAGTTGCCAAAGGAAAATGGAAGGTTAAGTGTTGTCCAAACTGAAACTGAAACAACAACCCCGTCTTAAGATGTCCCAGGACAGTAAGAAAAACCCAAGAACTGCAGCGCATGTGTGGAGTCAATCACAGCAGACCGTCGCCTATCAACTTACTGCGTTCCTCATCAGTACAAATATTCGCAAGATTCCTGCCATTGAAACCACTGTCCCCAACTACTCATCAGTTGATTTATGAAGAGACATGTTTTTCGATTGATCTGACGTTTCCTCCTTTAATCGACCATCATCATCATCATCGTCGTACAGCGAATTACAGTGAAGCGAACTTCGCTGATCGCTGCCAAACTCGCAATGCACACAAGGTTAGTGGTAAAATTTAAGGTGGACAGGGATTGGATCCATTTTGAGGGAGGGAGAAGGTGAGCCACTATGGTTAACACAGAGTACGCAATCGAACTCTGCATACATACCGTTTCAAGCATTCTGACTTGGTAAGAAACGACAACAAGAACGCCACTGCTGCCGGTTCGCTGCCATATCCCTCAATGTCTCCAACCAAACAGTTGTGGAGTCTTTCGGACCCCAACCTGGAAGGCGAGAGACATCCACTCTACCTAATGGCTCTGTGCATTTCTTCATGCCTCGTCTCC